TCTGAAGTTAGTCAAACAAAGCGTTGCAGGAGCCAATTGAGCGACATTGATGACAAAAATAATACGTTATTTCTTTGTTCGAATTTCCCTCTCCAGTGTTTTGTCTGTCACTGATGCCATCAGGATGCGACCTTTTCCCTGTGTGAACGTTTCCATCGGAACGACGTTGTTAACTCTATGGTTTTGGAAATCAACAGGATGTTGTCTTCTATCTTGTAATTATTACATACAAGTTTCAAAGTCACGCATCCGAAGATTGGACGACAATTTTTAAAAACAAGATAAGCGTCTCGCAGGCGTCGCCTTAAATATTTTTCTGCCTCGGTAGTCTCGATAGGCGCGTAGTACCATGGTCTGAACAAAACGAACGGAAATGGTATGCGAATCTCGATGACGTCAACCATCGCGGTGTAAGAAGAAAGGAGGATACATGTGTGTGTAAAGAGGGAGGACGATGATCCGAAGTGGGGGTAGTAGAGAAGAAAGAAAAGGATAGACGAAACGAAAAAGAGAGAAAGACGAAAGAGGATAGGTTAATTTAAAGTGAACGAGGAGAAAGAAGAAAGAAAGAAAGAAAGAAAGAAAGAAAATAAGGAAGCAAGGAAGCAAGATTTCTAAATCTTCTTTTTCTCGCAGCCGATTTCGCGTAGACGTCCTTGAAATTCGTGAGATCGGAGAACAATCAACTATGGGCGTTCGTCCGTGCAGGATGGTCCAGTGGCGCCGACTAGTCTCGATTGCGCCCCTCCATATCCATCTGGTGCTTCGTTAAGGACCCCACCATACCGGGGGCAAGAGGCAGGTTTAGTTTAAGGTCTTCTCCGTCGTTTGCTATCTGCTCTTGCTGGCTATCGTTGAACCATTCCGACCGTCAAGGACAGTTCGGTTCAGTGTCGGGTAAAGAGGGTCAGGCACGTAGACGAAAACTTTCAAGGGCAGACACGGGACCCCTCGCTTCTCGCTGTCGCGTAAATTCTCTGCCTGTGCTGTTGGATCGTTTGTGTGTGTGTGTGTGTGTTTGTGTGTGTACACGTCTCTCTGCTGGTCGTCAGTGTGAGTCTGGATTCGGAGCCATCGCGCCACGCTGGATTCTCTCTTGGGTGAATCGTTTCTTCTTTCGGCTGACTCATCGTCTCGAAATTAACCGATTTCGTGCATCAGTTGGGATGTAATTAGAGACACGACTCGCTCGGTGAATCGTCTTGCTCCGTCTCTCCCCACTGTGTAACAGATCGAACTACAACATGGTCACAGTGAGGGAAATCATTCTCGTCTCTGCGTGTACTACGGTCATCGACTTCGTCAATCTGCTTTCTGGATGTAAGTACAAACGCGTTTATCGGCGAATTATTCGATCCGAGACCTCTGACCTTATACTCCAAAGCAAGATGTACATTTCCTCTGTTTAACGTTCTGGCACTGCTTCGTAGTCATCGTGGTTTGCTCATATTTCATCGTCAGACATAATTCTCAGTTTCAAAGTTTAACACGCGGTGATTCTTGTAGGAACTGAAGAATTAATGATAAAACTGCTTGAGACGATCCTCTTGTTAAATATCACTTCTCTTCATTTAACGTTTCAACGTGATGTTCATGCTCGCCTGTTTTCAATTCATTTTCGACTCATACTACATTTTATATGCTCCAAGAAATAACAATAATCGTCGAATTCGCGATGCGAAGAACGTTCGTTCCTGCCATATTTGAGGGGAGAGAGCCCGTAGGCTGAAAAGAAGCCTGAGAGAAGCACAGAGAAACGACGTGTTGCACGGAAAGAAGAAGCACCAGAAGAGAAGAGGACGTCTATTTTTAACTTTCTGCTAACATTTTTTTTTTTTCCCTCTCTTTCTTGACATTCTGAAACACACGTACACGCCCCTTCTGTTCGAACAGCATCACCAATACGGCATCCACATTATCTTTCGGAACGTTTGCTTGAATAATTAAAACACCGATTGCGAAATTGTATATTGGAGCGTGCAAGGTTTTTCGAATAACTTTCTTTCACAATATCGTCAATGGTCACCGCGAATAAAGAGCACAATTGATAAAGTTTTAAAGTCTGTTAGCGAAACTTGAAAGGTAAATCGAATGGGTTTTCCCGACTTGGCATTTGGATTCGATATGTGTAAACATGGGATGATTCTGCTTCTTCTGCTAAACTTATTTCACGTTATGGTTATCCGAAACTCGAGAGAATCGATACGCCTTGCCTTCCTGTTAATTCTTCCAGAACCTTGTGTTCCGTTCAGTTGAAAATTAAATGCGATAACTGCCTATCCGACTTTATACTTGGCTAGAATTTAGCATTGCGATCGTGTTAACGTCGCTTGTCACCTCTGATGGAAACTGAACGGAATATTATCTGGTAAATGTTATGTCACATCGTATTATCAAAATGTCACATCATTATATTATGAAAATATTATTTATTTGTCTGAAGATCTGCGACAAGAATTGGACACGATCGCAATCGACACATCGTGTCAATTGGAAGTTGACAGAAAGTAAAGGGACCAAAATCGAAGCTGCCCATTTTCCTTTGTACATGAATCGCGACAAGCAAACAAGACACGTAAGAACGTGGTGCACGGTCCGTGAAAA